GATACAGAGTTCAAAACAGTGGTTATAATGAACTTATGGGAAGAATAAATGAACTCAGTGAGAATTTCAACAGAAGGAGAGAAAACATAAAAAGAAATAGAAAACAAAAAAGAACCAGTTAAGCCCTGCCCGATATGGTTCAGCGGTTAGAGCGTCAGCCCGCGGACCAGAGAGTTCCGGGTTTGGTTCCCGCTAAGGGCACGTACCTTGGTTGCAGTTTGTCCCCAGCCCCGGTTGGGGTCATGTGGGTGGCAACCACTTGATGTGTCTCTCTCAGGTGGATGTTTCTCTCTCTTTCTTCTTCCCTCTCTCCCTCCCGTTCTATCTGAATATAAATGTAAAAAATGTCCTCGGGTGAGGATTAAAAAATAAACAAACAAAAATAAGAACCAGTCAGAAATGAAGAATACAGTCTACGGCCATACCACCCTAAACGCGCCTGATCTCGTCTGATCTTGAACGCTAAGCAGGGTCGGGCCTGGTTAGTACTTGGATGGGAGAAATGAAGAATACAGTAACTGAAATGAGTAAATTAGAGGGAATTAACAGCAGATTAGATGAAGCAGAGAACTGAATCAGTGGCCTGAAAGACTACTTTTTATTGTTCTAACTGGGTGTAAAGGAAAACACCCAATTAGAACAGCAAAAAGATGATAGTTTGAAGGAACTCTGGGACAACATCAAGCATACTAACATTCACATCATAAGGGTACTAGAAGAAGAAAAGAGCAAGGGATTGATAACCTAACTGAAGAAATAATAACAGAAATCTTCCTAAACCTGGTAAAAGAAAGAGACACACAAATCCAGGAGAAGTGCAAGAGTCCCAAAAGAGATAAGTGAAATGAGTCACATAAAGAAAGACAAATGTTATATGATTTTTAAGAAGAATCTAAAAAGTAAAATAAATGAACAAACAAAAGAGAAACAACCTCATAGATACAGAAAAAAACAAAAAAACAATGATGATTTGTCAGAGAGGGGAGTTGAAGGAAAGAGTGAAAAAGGTGAAAGGGATTTAGAAGTACAAATTCCCAGTTATAAAAATAGTCATGGGGCCCTGGCTGGTTTTGCTCAGTGGGTAGTGTCAGCCCATGGACCAAAGAGCCAAAAGTTCGATTCCGGTCAAGGGCATGTACCTTAGTTATGGTTTGGTCCCCGGCCCTGGTTGGGGTCATGAGGGAGGCAACCAATCAATGTGTCTCTCTCACATCAATGTTTCTCTCCCCCCTCCCCACTCTATCTAAAGATAAATGGAAAAATATCCTCAGGTAGAGGTAGATTTTAAAAAAAAAGGGGGGAATATAAAGTAAAGCATAGAGAATATAGACAATAATATTGTAATAACTATGTATGTTGTCAGATGGGTTCTAGACTTATTGGGGTGATCACTTCGTGAGGTATATAAATGTCTAATCACTAGGTTATACATCCCAAACTAATATAATATTGTATGTCAACTATAATTGAACAAAGAACAAAAAACAAAAATAAATAAATGAAAGAAAGAACAGATAATGTTCTATTTCTTAACCTGGGTAAGTATACAGGTGCCCATTTTATTATTGGTATTAATGTATACATATTTGTTATACATATTGTTATAACACATATAAAGAGTATTATATTGTAATACTGTATATATGTTACATTACACAATAAAAAAATTAGGAAACTTGTACAAAAAATGGAAAAATATCCTCGGGTGAGGATAAAAAAAAAAAAAAAAATTAGGAAACTAAGCTCTGGTATGGAAAGACTAAAGGTAAGTTATTAAGTGATAAAAACATACATAATCGAAAAAATGAAAAGACAAACCACAAATGGGAAAAAAATATCTTTGCAAAACACATACCTGATAAAGAACCAAAATATATTTAAAAACTCTTAAAATGCAACAAGAGCCCTGGCCAGTTTGGCTCAGCGGTTAGAGCGTCGGTCTGCGGTTCGGAGAGACCCAGGTTCGGTTCCCGCTAAGGGCGCATACCTCAGGTGCAGTTTGTCCCCGGCCCTGGCTGGGTTGTGCGGGTGGCAGCCACTCGATGTGTCCCTTTCACGTCGATGTTTCTCTCTTTCTCTTCCTCTCCCTCCCTCCCACTCTATCTGAACAAAAAAATGGAAAAATGTTCTCAGGTGAGGAAAAACAAACAAACAAACAAAAAACAACAAGAAAAAACAACAACCTGATTTAAAAATGGGCCAAAGACCTTAATAGACACTTCACCCAAAAAGATATACAGATGGAAAATAAACACATAAAAATATGTTCCACATCATGTCATCAGGGAATTATAAATTAACACAAGACACTGCTACACACCTATTAGAATGACCAAAATTTACAACACTGACAACACCAAATGCTAGCAAGGATGTGGATCAACAGGAACTCTCAATCACTGATGGTAGGAATATAAAATGGTACAGTCACTTTGGAAGATAATTTAGCAATTTTTTACAAAACTAAACATACCCTTGACATACAATCTAGGAATTATACTCCTTAACTATTTTCTGTCCATGTAAAACCTTGCACACAATGTTTATATGAAGCTTTACTCACAATTACCAAGACTTGAAAGTATCCAAGATGTCCTTCATCAATAGGTGAATGGATAAATAAATGGTGGTACATCCATACAACAAAATATTATTTAGTGCTAAAAAGAAATGAGCTATCAAGCCATGAAAAGACACTGAGGAATCTTAAATGAATATTTCTAAGTAAAAGAAACCAATCTGAAAAAACTACATACTGTATGATTCCAAGTATATGACATTCTGGAAAAGCGTAACAATGGAGATAGTAAAAAGAGAAGTGGGAAAGTTATGCAACTGTCAGTTTTGTGTAGGTGTGCAAGCTCCCAGCTTGGGCTAGGATGTTTGTCTTGGTAGAGATGGTGGACACTGTGCTGATCTCCCCCATGTTAATGTGAGAGGAAGCTCAAAGACTCCATTGCAAAGGAACTGAACAAGAAGTTAGCTACAAGCCCTGGCCGGTTTGGCTCAGCGGTTAGAGCATCGGCCTGCGGTCCTGAGAGACCCGGGTTCGGTTCCCGCTAAGGGCACGTACCTCGGTTGCAGTTTGTCCCCGGCCCTGGTCAGTTGTGCGGGTGGCAGCCACTCGATGTGTCCCTTTCACATCGATGTTTCTCTCTCTCTCTCTGTTCCTCTCTCTCCCCCCCACTCTACCTGAACAAAAAATGGAAAAATGTCCTCGGGTGAGGATAAAATAAATAAATAAATAAATAAATTATTAGCCCTGCCTGGTTTGGTTCAGCGGTTAGAGCGTCGGCCTGCGGTCCTGAGAGACCCGGGTTCGGTTCCCGCTAAGGGCACGTACCTCGGTTGCAGTTTGTCCCCGGCCCTGGTCGGTTGTGCGGGTGGCAGCCACTCGATGTGTTCCTTTCACTTCGATGTTTCTCTCTCTCTCTGTTCCTCTCTCTCCCTCCCACTCTACCTGAACAAAAAATGGAAAAATGTCCTCGGGTGAGGATTAAAAAAAAAAAAAAAAAAGAAGTTAGCTACAAGGTACTGGGCCCATGGGGTCATGGGTAAGCCTTGCAAGGGAGGGCCCAGCACTACCCACCTGCATGCTGTAAGCTTGGCCTTGGGCAAGTGGCTTATCTTAGAACTTGGTTTCCTCTTTATATGGTAATTCTTACCCACAAGGATGTTGAAAGGAATCAAAAGAGAACCCAGTTTGGCCCTGGCTGGTTTGGCCTGCAGTCCAGAGAGACCCTTCGGTTCCTGCTAAGGGCACATACCTCGGTTGCAGTTTGTCCCTGGCCCTGGGTGGGGTTGTGTGGGTGGCAACCAGTCAATGTATCTTTCTCGCATCGATGTATCTCTCTCTCTTCCTCTCGTTCTATCTGAAGATGCACGCAAAAATGTCCTCAGGTGAGGATTAAAAAAGAGAGAGAGAGAGAGAACCCAGTTTGAAAAAGGCCCCTGTAATTGCAAAGTGCCAGACTCCACACTTCCTAATTACTTTGCAATCTTGGGTAAGCATTTACCCACTCTAGGACTCAGTTTCCATTTGTAAAAGAGAAATAATAATTGCTGTCCAAAAAAAAGAGTAATGATTGTCAGGTGCTCAGGGAGAAGGAGGGATGAATGAGTAAGTAGAGCACAGGGATTTCTAAGGCAGTGAAACTATTCTCTATGTTATTATAATGGTGGATACGCATCATTATATATCTGTCAAAACCTATAGAATGTACAACACCAAGAATGAATCCTAATGTAATCTATAGACTTTAAGTATCAATACTGACTCATCAATTGTAACAGGTATACCACATTAATGTAAGATGTTAATAATAGAAGAAACTGGGTGTGTAGAGAGAGTACATGGGAACTCTCTGTAATTCCCAAATTTTCTATAAACCCAAAACCGCTCTAAAAAATAAAATCTATTAATTAAAAACAAAGCACATATAAACAGACCAGTACAATTAATAATTTATTTTATAATAATCTATGTTTGTACTTTGTAAATATGTACAAATAAACTCTGAAAAGCTACTCAACAAAGTTATAACAATGACACTTGTGGAGGTTAGAGGAGAATTTAAATACACACCCAAATATTTACTGTGTTCTCTACATCATGCTAATTTGATTAGAAAAATAAAATACACATAATAAAATCCTGCATTTGCACTGAAGAATGCTATGAAATAACCACAGACAAATTGATAACCCTTTTAATTTAGGTTGTTTTCTGCAGATGCTGTCCAAAATACCATCTAAATGAAGGTCTATAGAATTTCTTCAGACCTAGTGCTACACAACCAAGAAAATGGTATTCATAACCAATGTAAGGCACTTAAATAGCTTGGTTTGCTTTTCAGCTGCTGGTATTGATCAGTTATATTTACTCTGTTTTCCTTAAGTTCAATTCGTCCTTATTTTTCTGTTTCCTTTTCTGGATTCTTATAAACTTCCTCAAATGTACTTAAAAAAAAACCCCACAAAATTGGGAATAAACAACTCACCTGGGGTTTGTTCATTTTCTGCAACTTTTGGGTAAAGGCACAGATATGAAGGCAGACCTGAAATAAAGCAAAAAGGAAGGTATTGTTATGAAAGATCTGATGCCTCTGAACTCCCAGAAATCCCTGCATATCACCTGGTAAAACACCACCTCCTGTGAATAGTCCCTTTGCCTCTTCAAAAGAGACAGAAAGGATCATACTGGCAGAACTCACCTTCAATCAAACATTATGAGATACCCAAGCCCAGCTGGTATGGCTCAGTGGGTGAGGGTTAGTCAACCCATGAACCAGGAGGTCGCCAGTTTGATTCCCCATCAGGGCACATGCCCAGGTTGTGGCTCAATCCCCAGTGCGGGGTGTGTAGGAGGCAGCTGAACGATGTTTCTCTCATTTCTCTCACCGATGTTTCTCTCTCTCTCTCTCTCTCTCCCTCTTCCTTCCTCTCTCTAAAATTAATAAAAACATATTTAAAAACAAAAAAACATTATGAGACACCCAAAAAGGCATGAGTAGGACCACCCACTATCAAGAGAAAAAGTAATTAACAGAAGCCTCAACTAATAAAAATAGACAGGAAATTTAAAGTAACTGTAATTCATGTATTAAAGGCTTTAATGGGAATGGTGGACAACATGAATAAATAGGGAATTTCAGAAGAGATGGAAACTGCAAGAAAAAAACAGATGGAAATGCTAAGAAAGAGAAACACAGTAACTAAATTGAAAGAATACCTTCAACAAGCTCATTATTATTTTTTAATGTTTTATTGATTTCTTTTAGAGAGAGAGAAGCAGAAGGAAAAGAAGAAGGAGAGAAAGATAGAAACATCAATGAGAGAGAACATCAATTGGCCGCCTCCTGCATGTCTCCCACTGGGGATTGGGCCCACAACCTGGGCATGTACCCTGACCGGGAACTGAACCTCTTGGTGCATGGGTCAATGCTCAACCACTGAGCCACACCAGCTGGGCTCCCCCAATATATTTATTAAATTTTAGAGAGAGTAAGGGAGAAGGAGAAAGACAGAAACATCAATGAGAGAGAACATCGATTGACTGGAGATTGGGCCCACAACCTGGACATGTGCCCTGACTGGGAATCAAACTGGCGACCTCTTGGTGCATGGGTCAATGCTCAACCACTGAGCCACAGTGGCCAGGCAACAAGCTCATTATTAAACTCAACAGAACTGAGGAAATTTTCAAGAAATCTGAAGATAGATAAAAAAAAAAAAAAGAAAAATTACCCAAACTAAAATACAAAGGAAAGTGGAAGAAAAAAAAAAAAAAGGACAGAGTATCCAAGAGCTGTGGCACAATATCAAATGACCTAACAAACATGCCACTGGAATCCCAAAAAGAGAAGAAAGAATGGGATAAAAGTTTTTAAAGACATAACGGTCAAGAATTTTCCAAAAATAGTGAATAATATCAAAGCACAGAGCCAAGAAGCTCAGACAATTTATCCAAACAGGCTTAACCTGAAAAAACAAAACATAACAAAGACACACGGGAACACACCGTAGACCACTGAAAACCCAAGTTAAAGAGAAAGTCTTAAAAGTAGCCAGAGGCTCGGCTGATGTGGCTCAATGGTTGAATGTCGGCCCATGTACTAAGAGGTTGCCAGTTCGATTCCTAGTTAGGGCACATGCCCAGGTTGTCGGCCCAATCTCCAGTAGCGGGTGTGTGCAGGAGGCGGCCAATCGAGGTTCTCTCTCACCAATGTTTCTCTCTCTCTTCCTCTTCCTTCCTTTCTCTCTAAAATAAATAAAGAAAAAATATTTACATTACAAAAATAATAATAGCCCTGGCCAGTTTGGCTCAGTAGTTAAAGCGTCGGCTTGCGGTCCGGAGACCCGAGTTCGGTTCCTGCTATGGGCGCGTACCTCGGTTGCAGTTTGTCCCCCGCCCTGGTTGGGTCATGTGGGTGGCAACCACTCAGTGTGTCCCTTTCACGTCGACGTCTCTCTCTCTCTCTCTCTCTCTCTCTCCCTCCCACTCTATCTGAACAAAATATCAAAAAAATATCCTCGAGTGAGGATTAAAAAATATATTAAAAAATAAAAAAATAATAATAATAATAAAATAAAATAAAAGTAGCCAGAGGAAAAACAGACATATTATATACACAGGAAGAAAGAATCACAGCCATTCTCAGAGAAATATACAAGTCAGTAGACAATGTACTGACATATTTAAAGTCTGGTGGATACATTAAGGAAGTCACCTATTTAATATACTGTATCAGACAAATTAACATCCCGTTCTTCCCGATGTAACTCATTGTGCTAGCTTTATAAAAAGAAAAAGAAAAAAAAAGCCCTGGCCGGTTTGGCTCAGCCATTAGAGCATCGGACCACCAAAAGGTCACAGGTTTGATTCCTAGTCAAGGGAATGCACCTGGGTTGCAGATTCAATCCTCAGCCCCAGTTGGGGCCATGCGGGAGGCAACCAGTTGATATGTCTTTCTTACATCGATGTTTCTTTCTCTCTCTCCTTTTCCCTCCCTCCCTTCCACTCTATCTAAATATCAATGGAAAAATATTGTCAGGTGAGATTTAACAAAAACAAACAAACAAAACACACACACACACACACACACACACAAAACTATCAACCAGAATTCTATACCCAGCAAATATATCTTTCAAATAAATAAATATATACCTTTTTAAATAAACAAAAACAGAATTCATAACCACAGATCTGTACTACAAGAAATATTTAAGTAAGTTCTTCAGACAGAAGAAATATATCAGACAGAAACATGGATCTACACAAAGAAATAAAGATCTTCAGAATGGTTAAAAATAAAGGTAAATAATAGCACAAAAAGTAAAGTAATGAAATTGGGGGTATACTGTTTTAAGGATCTTACATAACACAGCATAATATTATTTAAAGGTCCACTGTGATTAATTCAAGATGTTTACTGTAAACTCTAAGGCAACCACAGAAAAAATTTTTAAAGAGGTACAAATGATAAACCAATGTGAGAAAAAAATGGAATCATAAAAAAGTACTCATAAAATCCAAAAGTATTCAGAAAAAGAGGGAAATAGGAACAAAGACCAGATGGGACAAGTAGAAAAAAACTAGCAAGATGGTAGATTTTGATCCTGCTACATCAACAACTGGTATAAACACACCAATTAAATAACAGAGGTTATCAAATTGGATAAAAAAGCAATACTAGCCCTGGCTGGTTTGGCTTAGCAGTTAGAGCATTGGCCCATGGACCAGAGTGTCCCAGGTTCAGTTCCTGCTAAGGACACATACCTCAGTTGCAGTTTGTCCCCGGCCCCAGTTGTGGTCGTGTGGGTGGCAACAGTTGATGTATCTCTCTCACATTGATGTTTCTCTCTCTCTCTTTCTCCCTCTCTCCCTCTTGCTCTATCTGAATATAAATGCAAAAATGTCCTTGAGTAAAGATTAAAAAAAAAAAAAAAGACAGCAAAAATTACAACTAAATGCCCATCCAGTGTGGCTCGTTGGTTGAGCGCTGACCCATGCACTAAGAGGTTTGACTCCTGGTCAGGACAAATGCCAGGATGTGGGCCCAGTCCCCAGTGAGGGACATGCAGGAATAGGCCAACTGATGTTCTCTCATCGATGTTTCTATCTCTCTCCCTTTCCCTTCCTCTCTCTCTAAAATTGATAAAGAAAAAATATTTTTAAAAAGTTATTCTTTAACAATAAACTGGACAAAAAGGGGCCATATGGCAGTCTTACAAAAAAATCAAGAGACCACAAATCATCTGTAATTGTTATCATGTTCATTGTTGACTGTTAACTACCCTGTACCCATCTATGTAAAAGATGTGTCTATCATTTTACTTTTTATGCAATCCCATAGGTTATTCTGCTTTGCTTTCTCTCACTTCCCTAATCTATCACCAATGGATTTCATGTAGCCCAGTTACGTCTTCTCTTTTGATTGTAATGTATAAAATAAGATGCAAAACTGCCATTCTCTAGAGCATTTTCTCAATCTGTTGAGATTTTGCTTCCTGGCAATTGTTGACAGTTTGGCTCAAATAAACTCACAAAAATTCTCTAGAGGTTTGACTGTTTCTTACATTGACAAAACAGATAACCATTAGCTGCACTAATTAAGGAAAAATGGATAAATCTAAAGTATACAAATTAAAAAGTGGTAAATATCAAATACAAGAGAAAAAAGATAAAACAATGGAAAAATTCCATCTTCGATAGCTATAAAATATTACATAAAAATAAACTTAAGGAAAATGCAGTTATTTTATGATGATTACAAAATACTGTTTGGGCAAGAGAAACAAAGGAAACACTACATGGGACTACATTAAACTAAAAAGCTTCTGCACAGCAAAAGCAGCATCAAAATGGAAAAGGAACCCACTATATGGGAGAGCATAATTGCCAACAATACATCAGATAAGGGGTTTATTTCCAAAATATATAGAGTACTCATACCACTCAACAAAAGGAAGACAAAGACCCAATTAAAAAAATGGGCAGAGGACCTAAATAGACACCTCTCCAAACAGGACATAAAAATGGCCAGGAGGCACGTACCTAGGTTGCAGTTTGTCCCTGGCCCAGGTTGGGATCATGTGAGTGGCAACCACTCGATATGTCTCTCTCACATCGATGTTTCTCTCTCTTCCTCCCTCATTCCCTCCTGCTCTATCTGAAGATAAACACAAAAAAAATGTCCTCAGGTGAGTATAAATAAATAAATAAATGGCCACGAGACATATGAAAAAATGCTCAACATCACTAATCATCAGAGAGATTGCAAATTAAAATGACTATGAGGTATCACCTCACACCTGCCAGAACGGCTGCCATCAATAAATCATCAAACTACAAGTGCTGACAGCGGTGTGGAGAAAAGGGTACTCTAGTACACTGCTGGTGGAAATGCAATGGAAAACAATGTTTCTTCAAAAAATTAAAAATTGAACTGCCATTTGACCCAGTGACCCCACTTCTAGGAATACATCCTAAGAAGCCTGAAACACCAATCAGAAAGAATATGAATATATGTACCCCTATGATCATAGCAGCACTATTTACAATTGCTAAGATCTGGAACAGCCCAAGTGTCCCTCAGTAGATGAGTGGATAAAAAAAGCTGTGGTACATATACACAATGGAGTACTGTGCAGCTCTAAGAAAGATCTCTTATCTTTGAGAGCCGACATGGGGTACTATGCTAAGCAAAATAAGCCAATCAGAGAAAGTCAAAACCACATGATCTCACTTATTTGTGGAATATAATGAACAAAATAAGCTGATGAACAAAAACAGACCCAGACACAGAAAGGAGGAGGATTCAGACTGACAAACCTCAGAAGAGGGAGGTGAGGTGGGGTGGGGGGGGAGATAAACCAAAGAACTTATATGCATATATGCATAACCAATGGACATAGACAACAATGCTGTGAGCTGGCGACAGGATAAGGAGGAGGGTGTCGAAGGGCGAAAAAGGAGAAAAAATCTAACAAAAATAATTTTAAAAAAATTTTTAATACTGCTTGGGGAGGGGTGTCGGCAAAAGAGGACTTGAACAAGTGGGAAGGCCTACGGTAAGACCCAACATCATAAAGGTGTACACACACCCCTTCTTTAATGTAATCATTACTAGGATAACAATAAAAGTATCAGTAAACTTTAAAAAAAACATATGATTCCAGCCCTGGCCGGTTTGGCTCAGCAATTAGAGCATCGGCCTGTGGTACGGCGAGACCCGGGTTTGGTTTCCTCTAAAGGCATGTACCTTGGTTGCAGTTTGTCCCTGGCCCTGTTTGGGTCGTGCGAGTGGCAGCCATTCGATGTGTCCCTTTCACATTGATGTTTCTCTCTCTCCCTCCCACTCTATCTGAACAAATGAACAAAAAATGGAACAATGTCAGGTGAGGATAAAAAAAATAATAATAATACAATTCTAAAGTACCAGTGGGAATCATCAGAAAACTTGTATAATATCAAAGTGAAGGTTGGCTGCCATAAAAGAGCAGTAAATTCAACTAAGAAGAAATTAAAAACATCTGCATGGCAAAAACTACCAATGATCAATGTTAAAAGGCAAATGAAGCCAGGAGCGGTGTTGCTCAGCGGATTGAGTGTTGTCCCAGGGACTGAGAGGCCTTGGTTTGATTCTGGGTCACGACACAGGTCCGAGTTGCAGGCTCAGTCCCCAGGAGGGGGCGTGCAGGGGGCAGCAGATGGCTGTTCCTCTCTCTCATGATGTTTCTACCGCTCTCTCTAAAAAAAAAAAAAAAAAAAAAAAAGAAAGAAAGAAAGAAAGAAAAGAGATTTGCCATTCAGCTGGCTGAGTGACCTGGGCAAATCACTTCACCCTTCTGAGCGTCCGTTTTTCCTCCTGTTGAATCTGAGATACTAGCGAAGCTCGAGTAGGTGTGGGGATTAGGAGAACTTTAACTGAAAGGCTCTTGCAAACAGGTCAGAGTTATTCATTCCGCACGTCGCGTGCATCAGGAAACTTGCCGGGGCGTTCAATTCTCCCTCCAGCCCACGCGGCAGGGACGCAGCACGCGGAACAAGAGCGCGGCCAGGTGTGTCCGGCCCCGCCCCCTGCCTCGCCGGGGGCTCGCCCGGCCTAGTCACGCGCGCGTCCCGCCAGACTTCCGGACTCCCTCGGGGGCCCCAGACCTTCTCCGTCGGTCGAAGGCACTTCTCCGGACAAAGGGAGGAAGGCGAGCCTCGAAGCCGCCCTGCCCCTCCGCCGTCCCCGCCCCCGCACGTCCGGCCCAGCGAGCCCCGCCAACCCCACGCCGAGGAGAGCGCCCGGCGCCCCCTCCGACGCCGCCCCAAGGGTCACCGCCTCCAGCGAGTCGCCGAAGTTTGGGCTCCCACCCCGCTCCAGCACGAATCCATCCCTCATCTCCTTCCCCTTGGCTCCCAGGTCCCGCGGAGATGCCTGGCAGCCTCCCTCATACCTAGAGGGGCACAGTGTCCACTCGTGGCTCAGTGCCAAACCGGGTCACGGCGTGAGGCGGCGAAGACAAGCGGAAACCCGGGGCCCTGTCACCCACTCGCGGCTAGAGGTGGGGGAAGGGCGGATACCGGTGCGCTCACAGCCTGGCACATGCGCAGATACTGGGGCTGCTCGCTGTCCCAGGGTCCTCCGAGGAGTGGTCCATCAATCTTGGAGACTACATTTCCCATAAGCCTGTGGGGCCGTGCTGTAGGGACTCTCAAGAAAGTCTTCGCTTGGTTTAGCGGTTTGGATGAGCGCTGACCAAAATAATCCCTTGATTTGGACTGTTCATTTCCTCGAGATAGGATTATGAGTTACAATCACTATCTCCTCCCAATAGAAGTAAAGATTGCAGAGGTAATCTATGATATCTGTATTTGAAATAGAATCTATGTATAAAGTAAAAGAGAAAAAACAGCGCAGCCAGTGTGGCTCGGTGGTTGAGCATCCACCCATGCACCAAGAGGTTGCTGGTTCCATCCCTGGTCAGGGCACATGCCCAGGTTGTGGGGCCAGTCCCCACAATCCTCAGTGGGGGACATGCAGGAGGAGGCCAGTCATGTTCTTTCCCATCAATGTTTCTATCTTTGTCTTCCTCTAACTTCCTCTCTCTCTAAAAATCAATAAAGAAAAGAAACAAACAAAAAAAAACAAATACTCATAATCTCACTTTCAATAACTGTTAAATTCACATCTTTAAAATAAAATTGGCCAGCCCTGGCCGGTTTGGCTCAGTGGTTAAGAGCATTGGCCCGCAGACCAGAGAGTCCCGGGTTCGGTTCCCGCTAAGGGCACCTGCCTCGGTTGCAGTTTGTCCCTGGCCCTGGCTGGGATCATGTGGGTAGCAGCCACTCGATGTGTCTCTCTCACATCGATGTTTCTCTCTCTCTCTTCCTCCCTCTCTCCCTCCCACTCTATCTGGGGATAAATGCAAAAATGTCCCCTGCTGAGGATTAAAATAAATAAATAAAATAAAATAAAAATAATAACATTGGCCATAAAGAAATTATGTGCTGCAACTAGCTTTTGTTTGTTTGTTTAGAGCAGTTTTAAATATTTGAGGCAAACAGTACAGAGTTCCCATATATGACCTTCCCCCACACATGTACAGCCTCCTCCACTATCAGCATACCCTACCAGAGTGGAACGTTTGTTACAATCCAGTGTATACTGACACATCACCCAAAGTCCATAGCCTATATTAGGGTTCACTCTTGGTGTTGTACAGTCTATGGGTTTTGACAAATATGTAATGACATGCATGTATCCATCACTATATAGTATCATACAGGATAGTTTCACTGCCTTAAAAATCCTGTGCTCCATCTATTCCATGAGCCCCTGGCAACCACTGATTTTTTTATTTTCTTCACAGTTTTTGCCTTTTTCAGAATGTTAAATAGTTGGAATCATACAGTATGTAGTCTTTTCAGATTGATTTCTTTACTTAATAATATGCATTTAAGGCGTCTCCATGTCTTTTTCAGGGCTTGATAGCGCATTTCTTCTTAGCACTGAAAAATATCCCATTGTCTGGATGTAATGACATGCATGTAGTAAACTGGATGTACAACAGTTTATCCACTCACTTACTGGACATCTTGGTTACTTTCAAGTCTTAACAATTATGAATAAAGCTGCTATAAACATCCACATGCAGGGTTTTCTGTGGACTAAGATAAGTAACTCGTTTGAGTAAATGAGGATCACAATTGTTAGGTTATATAGTAAGAATATGTTTAGTTTTGTAAAACAAACAAACTTCCAAACTGTCTTCCAAAGTGTTTGTATCATTTTGCCTTCCCACCAGCAAAGAATGAGTGTGTTCCTGTGCTTCACATCCTTGTCAGCATTTGGTGCTGTCAGTGTTGTGGATTTTGGCCATTCTAATAGGTGTGTAGTGGTAGCAACTAGCTTTTAATTAAAACAATATATAGTCTCAAAAATGTACTTTTACTCTTCTATGCAGTTTTCTAGTCTAAGAGGCTGGCCTCACTGCCCGGTGGGGACAACATATAAGAAATTCGCATAAGACCTGGCCGGTTTGGTTCAGCAGTTAGAGCTTCAACCTGCGGTCCAGAGAGACCCAGGTTCGGTTCCTGCTAAGGGCACGTACCTTGGTTGCAGTTTGTCCCTAACCCTGGTTGGGTCGTGTGGGTGTGGCAAGCACTCGATATGTTCCCTTCACATCGATGTTTCTCTCTCTCTCTTCCTCGCTCTCCCTCCCACTCTATCTGAACAAAAAATGGAAAAAATGTCCTTGAGTGAGGATAAAAAAAAAAAAGAAATTCGCATTTAAGACAGCTGTGCAAAATAGAGCTGGAGGAGCCTTATTTGTGCACAGCAATACTCCTGAGAATAACTCTGATGCTCCATTTGATGTCACACCAGAAAAATACAAGAGGATAGAGGCAATTGTAAAAAACTATCTAGGTCCTGCTGGTGTGACTCAGTGGTTGAGCATCGACCCATGCACCAAGAGGTCGCCGGTTCGATTTCCAGTCAGGGCACGTGCCCGGGTTGTGGTCCCGATCCCCAGGAGGCGGCCAGTTGATGTTTTTGTTCATCTCTCATAGATCTCTCCCTCACTTTCTCTCTCTAAAATCAATACAGGGTGGGGCGGGAGGACTATCCAGAAGGGCAGAAAGCAGCAACTGTACTTCTAGTCCTGGATTTATCCCGAAGACAGAATGGATAGCTGCTCATCTCTGCTGTGAACAAGGTTGCAGAAGTTTTACAAGTACCTTTAAAGAGAGTATATGAAGTAGCAACTTTTTTTTTTAAATCCTTACTCGAGGACATTTTTCCATTTTTTTTATTCAGATAGAGTGGGAGGGAGAGAGAGGAAGAGAGAGAGAGAGAGAAACATCGATGCGAAAGAGACACATCGAGTGGCTGCCACCTGCACAACCAACCAGGGCCGGTGACAAACTGCAACCGAGGTACATGCCCTTAGCAGGAACCGAACCCGGGTTAGAGCAGGCTGATGCTCTAACCGCTGAGCCAAACTGGCCAGGGCCTATGTATGTTTCTATCTCTCCCTGTCCCTTCCTCTTTCTCTAAAATCAATAAAGAAAAAAAAAAGATAATGGTGAAAAATATGATTATACAACATTGTTAATGCATTTAATGCCACTGAATTGCACACTTAAAAAGTTAAAATGGTAAATTTCATGTTATGTATCTTTCACTAGAATTTTTTTTTTTAAAGCTAAATTGAAGTGATGGTTGCATAACTCTAAATTTGTAAAAAGTCTCAGCAAGGTATTTTTGTTATTTGTTGTTTGCTGTTTTGATTTTTTGTTTGTTTGATGAAGTAATTCCATACTTCATCAGAAAGGAAAACGGAATACTCAGGACATTTTTAAATTTTTTAAATTAATTTTTTATTAATTTATTTTTGTTACAGATGTGTCTCCTTTTTTTCCCCATTGACACCCTCCTCCCCATCCCCCCCTACCCCATACCTGGCTTTGTTGTCTGTGTCCATCGGTTATATATACATGCATATAAGTTCTGTGGTTTATCTCTTTCCTCCCCCCTCTCTGAGGTTTGTCAGTCTGTACCCTACTTCCACGTCTCTGGGTCTACCAAATTCCTCAGACTGTTATGTTCATTATATTCCACAAATAAGTGAGAACATGTGGTATTTGTCTTTCTCTGCTTGGTTTGTTTCACTGAGGATAATATTTTCCAGGTTCCTCCCTGTTGTCTCAAAGGAAAAGAGATCTTTCTTTCTTACAGCTGCATAGTACTCCATTGTGTATATGTACCACTGCTTTTTTATCCATTTGTCAACTGATGGACACTTGGGCTGTTTCCAGATCTTAGCTATTGTAAATAGTGCTGCTATGAACATGGGGGTACATATATTCTTTCTGATGGTGTTTCAGGCTTCTTAGGGTATATTCCTAGAAGTGGGATCACTGGGTCAAATGGAAGTTCAATTTTTAATTTTCAGAAGTAACACCATATTGTTTTCCATAGTGGCTGCACCAGTCTGCATTCCCAGCATCAGTGTACTAGAGTCCCCTTTTCTCCACACCCTTGCCAACACTCGTTGTTTGATGATTTGTTGATGGGGGCCATTCTGACAGGTGTGAGGTGATACCTCGTAGGTGTTTTAATTTTCATCTCTCTGATGATTAATGATGTTGAGCATTTCTTCATATGTCTCTTGGCCATTTGTATGTCCTGTTTGGAGAGGTGTCTATTAGGCTTCTCTGTCCATTGTTTAATTGGGTCCTTTGTCTTCCTTTTGTTGAGTTGTATGAGTCCTCTATATATTTTGGAAATTAACCCCTTATCTGATGTATCATTGGCAATGATGCTCTCCCATACAGTGGGTTGCCTTTCCATTTTGATGGTTGTTTCTTTTGCTGTGCAGAAGCTTTTGAGTTTGACATAGTCCCATGTGTTCATTTTCTCCTTTGTTTCTGTTGCCTTAGGTAATGTATCAGTGAAAATTCTGCTGTGTATGATGTCTGAAATTTTGTTGCCTACATTTTCTTCTAGGATTTTTATGGATTCATGAGTCACATTTAAGTATTTTATGCATTTTGAGTTTATTCTTGTGTATGGTGTAAGTTGATGGTCTCATTTCATTTTTTTGCATGTAACTGTCCAATTTTCCGAACACCGTTTATTAAAGAGGCTGTCTTTACTCCATTGTATGCTCTTGCCTCCTTTGTCAAATATTAATTGAGTGTCTTGGGTCCATTTCTGGGTTCTCTATTCTGTTCTGTTCACTGGTCTATATGCCTGTTCTTGTGCCAGTACCAGTCTGTTTTGATTACAGTGGCTTTGTAGTATAACCTGATATCTGGTATTGTGATCCCACCTACTTTGTCCTTCTTTTTCGAGATTGCTGTGGCTATTCGGGGTGTTTTTTGGTTCCATATGAACTTTTGAAGTATTTGTTCTAGTTCTGTGAAATATGTCATTGGTATTTTGATGGGGATTGCATTGAATCTATAGATTGCTTTGGGTAATATGGACATTTTAATGATGTTAATTCTTCCAATCCATGAACAAGGTATGTGCTTCCACTTTTTTATATATTCCGCTATTTATTTTTTCAATGTCCTGTAATTTTCGGCAAATAGGTCCTTT